CGCACCCTTCTGTAAAGGTTTGGGGGTCAGATTCAGGGTACAGAGAATCGGATATTCAGAGCTTTTGGATTAAGAGTGCAGAACTTGGAGTATTTCCTGGGAACCAGATCTGTTTGTACAGATGTTTGCAAGGCGCTATATAGGACCAAACATGCTTATAACCAGAATCGCTTGCTGACTGTGTAGCCAATTCCCGGCCCAAAGCCCTAAGACAAAAATACGACGCGGAGCAAGCGTGAGGATTTGCTGGCTACCCTCCCTGGAACCCTAAACAAATCAACCTTGTCGTACTTCGTTGCCGAATAATACCCAAGAAGCAGGACTGTCAGAGCTAGAATCAACGTTGTCGCCGGTTTGTGGGGTTACGATGCAAAAAACAGCTTTCAGGACTGTCATAGTAGCTGGCCTATATGCAGTTCAAATTTGAGCAACTCAAGCGTGTTCATACCGAAAGCTGGCATGTGGGAAAATACTTTCATTGAGGTTTTGGCACCTGATGCAAACTCCAGTTTTGGCACCTGATGCAAACTCCAGTAAACTATCCAAGATTATGGTCCCACATTCAAATTCCTTGTAACTGTTATGGTGCAGGGTACCTCAAACAGACCCGAACATGACATTGGTCATTCTTCAGACCTACATTCTAGGCGCTAGGGGTCTATATGCATGGACCCAGAAAGACTTTTGACTTCTCAAGATATTCCGTGCATAACACTTCGGGGGGCCCCCTTCTATAGTCTCATATATATATATGTATGTAGATGTATTCATATATATATATATGCATATTATTTTTCTCCTCGATGGTCCCTGAGGACACCTCAATTTCGCGAAATGCTCAGGTAAGGGTAAGGTCTGGCAAGCTGGCAAGGAAGTGAAGAGATCTGTTGTGGTAACATATTGCGCGGCTTGCGCCGTTAGCGCATAGCGCTGAAGACCCTTGCAATCCCTAGCTCAGGGATTAGGGCAACAGATAAGCGTTGTCAGGTAATTTTTTCGGTATTACCACCAAAAAAAGCTTCATTGAAAAACATGGTTGCGTGGATTCAGGGGGCATTGAAGACTTGTTGGCAGGTTCAAGATCCAGAAAACACTCCATCATTGCGAAGCGGGTGTAATATGCTTTAATACGCTCGCATCACATATGAGCTATAGTCTAAACTGCTAGTATCCCCCTTAATAACCCCTATGGTACTCCTCTATACAGTCCCCTATATATCCCCTTTGAAGGAGTTTAGACTATGGTTCATATCACTGTTTTCTGAAGCTAAAGCAGGGCCGCGCAAGATGAACATGCCCCAAGGTTCACAGAAAGACCCTTTGAGCTATAGTCTAAACTCCTTAAAAGGGGTTATATGGGGGATTATATATGGGCACTACTGTAGGGGTTATTAAGGGGGATACTAGGAGTTAAGACTACAGGAACGGCTCAAAACAAACGGACGCTGAATCACTGACTTGCTACCTTGGCATGCTGAGGCCCCAAGATTAAGACCGACTACAAGAGTGTAGTTTTCCGATGGGCATGTTGATACAAGGGGTAAATAGGTCCCCACATGGCAACTGCCCTCCTATGGTCAGCATAAGCAAGAAGCAGCTACTGCACCACTGAACTCTGTAAAGAATCCATCCTCTTGAACAAGGGTTGCAATGGCTGGCTCAATCCAGAAAAATCTCTGCTAGTACAAATATTGGAGTTATATTGGGGATAATGGAAATTAAAATGGAAACCACTATAGTATAAGAGGGTTATACAGGGAGTATATTCTTTTGGACCCAGGCGCATCATTGCTATCGAAGTCGTAGGTCCGACTGCTTTCCTGCCGCATGACTCCGAGCCTGCAAGCGGTCCCTAAAAAAAGGGTCCCCCAGGGTTATATAGGGATGATATTGGGATAATGGAAAAGAAAATGGAAACTACTATTTTATAGGGTTATATAGGGATTATATAGGGGTTATATGGGAGCCGCAAGTGGCGGTGGTCCTAGGGCGGAAACTTCAGGGTCGAGGGCCTAGGCTAGTAGCAGGTTCAAAAATGTTTGGATTGTTGTGGCTACTTTTCCCATGGAGGCAGATACTCCTTATCTGAGGAGTGTTTCTAGATTGTATGAGGGGCCCTAGTACCATTTATGGTATACACCCTGAATTAAGGTATTTGGCCGGGTACCGTCATGAGCCTCATGTAAAAGCCTGTTGACAACAGGACTTTGAGGTGCATTTTGGGGATTTAGGGTTTAGGGTTTAGGGTACACTTCTGAATTGAGTGGTATAGGTAATTAATATTCAGAATACTAACACTGATGCAAACACAAAACACATGCACAAAATGCGTATGCTGTCGGTATTCCTATTCCTACAATCACTATTGCTGACCCATTATTACTACCAGTCTTTTGTCTTATGGGTTCTGTAGACCCTAAGCCAAAATCCTGAAGCCCTAAAGCCTCAGGCCGTGAAGTGTGATGGAATTGTATAGAATAAAGCCTGAACCACAACACCAAAACCATGAAGCCGTGAAGTGTGGTGAGAGCACCTGCTGCAGGCCAGCATGATGGTGCCGTTGGTATGGTTGTGCTGCTTGGCTTCTTCAGTGTTCTCCTGTTTGCAACCAGTCTAGGGTTTAGGGTTGATAAAGGGTCAAGGCTTTAGGGCTTAAGCCGCTTTAGGGTTTAAAGCCTGGATGTTTTTGGGCATGATGAGATACATGCGCTGTTTTCCTTTCCGGGTTTGAATGCAGGTTCTCTGCTGTACATCTTTGAGGGTTCATTGCTAAACAATAAGATTTAGGGAGAGTCACAGTTGTTGTTTACTAAGAGTCCTGTTCTTAGGTGTCTTGCCATGGGGGTGGACTTGATCACGAAACCAACTCTCGGGGAGTCTTCTACGCGAAGGTCGATCTTAAACCCAAGCCCGTGACCGAATACCCCCAAATTCCAAATCCTGAGTCCTAAGCCCTACACTCTAAATCCTAAACCCCAAACCCTGAAAGGAAACTGCCGGCAGGACCAGCATTCAGGACCTATACCCGGAACATCCCTACCTAAACCCCTAAAGTAGGTAAAATAATGGCCCGAACCCCCTAAATATAGCCCAAAAGGCCATTATTCTACATACTTTGGGGGTCCAGGTAGTTCTGAAAACCGAAACAGAGTCTTCAAGGACATCCTTACAACAAGCGATCCTCAATGCCTCCTTGCACCTCAGCTCACGGATCCTGTCTCATGAAACATCCCACGCACCCTCGAACCAAAATTTTCGAAACCTGCACCACTTCTGCACCTCTTCTGCTGCTACTGCAGCTGCTGCCCGAAACGGACTTAGGCGAGGGATCCCTTGTGCCCTAAACCCTAAACCCTTGAACCCTTTTTTTTGAGACCGTTACACCCTACTTGGAGGGTCATGGGGACTTAGTAAGTAGGTTAGTAACCCCCATAGGCCATATAGTAACCTCAATTATCCCCATTATTAACCCATTTACTAAGTCCCCATGACCCTCCAAGTAAACCCTACAACCCTAAATCTATAGGCCGCTCACGGTTGTCCCTGACTATTTTTGGAGCCCCGAAGCATAAGCCAGGGGCCTGCAGCATGGTCTCCCCACGCGAGGCCCCGAAAGACAGGAACTCTGGGAAGGCCAGGAGCACCACCTGGGCTGTTAAGGAACTCCTATTTAGCTACCATAGTGTATATATATATATGTATATCTGTAACACAAGGAACTTTGAATATAGGGTATATAGGGTCTAGGGTTTATGTCGTGCTTAGGTTATCGTCATGGGTATATATGTATATAGGTATATATATATATATATGTAATAAATACAAAATGGTTTCCCAATATAGTAGCTGAACTTAAGTTCCTTAACATCAACCCAGCCACGGGAGTGACAATCATGTTCACCGCCATAGCACACCTCAGGTTCATCTCGGACAGCTTCGGGTTTTGCTCGTCTAGGGCTTTAGGTCTATAGTCCCCCTAAAGTAGATAGAATATGGCTTCGGGTACATTGGTTTAATATCCCCATATACCCCATATTCTATCTACTTAAGGGGGGACTATAGGTTCCCCAGTAACCCATTAATGATAAGGGTACCCTTTTTCCTACTGTTCAGCTTTAATAAGGGGACGCCAAAATATGAAAGGGCAAAAGGTACTACGTGGGTGCCTAGAAGTTCATAGAGAAAATGATGACCTCGCGGTCCTGGTGTCAGAACAGGCTCATCTGGGTGACCTTTTGAAGGTAGCCCCTGTTGGGGACGGGGGGCCTGCTGGAGTCTTGAGCAGTCTAAATAAGTTCCTCCAGCACAGTTTTGAGGCTTGTAGACTATACCTCAACTCGGATTTCAGAGTCATAACTATCCGAGTGTTGACAACTTCCGAGGATTACATATGGGTGGTTGTCAAAATTATGGTCCCCTTTTGGACCCCTATTATAATACGGCACCTAATATTTAGGGTACCCAAAAAGGGACCATCATTTTGACAATCCCCCATACTCAGCTCTGGAGTTGCCCCTGCCAGTTTCGGAGGATCACTGATACCCGAGACCTGAACTGTAAAGATGTCCAGCAAAAGCCCTCCACATGCACATCGCACTGCAGAGGGAAGGATTCTTTGTCTGTATGGTATCCAAGTAGGTATGGTTCGTATACCTTGTACCCCCCAAAATCACTACTGCTTAGACACCTTGAGCCCCGCCCCAGGCTTTTTTATTCAGCAACCAGCAACGGTGCACGGCGCATCTCTGGCGAAGCCCCCTGCATTTCCTCCGGGCGGTCGCATCGCGTTTGTCGCAGCAGAAGCTCCTCCGGCAGGGGAAGGCCATCTGCGTTTGAAGCCAGCAGCAGCTCCATGGCACGATACTCGTCAACCAGTAAGTTCTGTAGGTCAGTGACCAAGGACTTGTTTTCGCAGAGATCTGTCCGATAGCCCTTCTGATGGTTGTGGCGCTCCACCTTGAAATCTGGGAGTCTTCTAGCGCCAAGGAAACGTGCCACGTTTGCAAACGTGTCAGTCGGGAGGTGGCGCATGTGGGCCTGATGTATCACGCGAAGTCGGTGCCCCATCAGAGCTTGAAGCGAAAGCAAATGAAAACTGAATCGTGCCTCAGTTGTCCAGTATCTACTGGGTACTGCCCCCACCCAGTAACAGTCTATATTAGGGGTCCTATTAAGGGCAATATATAACCATATTAAAACTATTCTCCAACTGTTACTGAGGGGGGGCAGTACCAAAAGTATCTAGACCTTTCTTCCTAGCGCGCTTCTGGTAGAGATTTGCTTTACCCCCTAATCCCTTCACCTTTAACTATTCATCGAGAACTACACTCAGGCCCTCCAAACCCAACCCCAAACCCTCAACTGCAGAGAGAGGTTACTGACTGCCCGGGTGGGTTGCATAGGTTAACATCTGGGGCTCTTCCAAAGCGCTCACCGGGCTCCGGAAGCAGCGCTCTCGGCCATCAGGGCTCAACTTGTGGCGAGGTTTTGCAGCATAGGGCTTGCATTCCAGGAACATCCAGAACCACTTCCTTGCAGTAGTTGCCCAGCATGTAGAGTCTAGATTGGGTACTGCCCCCACCCTGTAACAGTCTATATTAGGGGTCCTATAAAGGGCTATGTATAACCCTATTATAATTATTATCCAACTGTTACTGAGGGGCGGCAGTACCCAAAGTCTAGAGCTTTTGCAAGATTGACGTTTTGGCTCTTGTTGGGCTGTGGATGACTCCCAAAAACCTAAAGGTCATCCCCTGGACAGGTAAGCTTCTCAAACCTGCTGACAGGATCACACAACACGATAACCACCTTCAGCCGGGGAATGTGAGCCAGTGCGAGTCGGATCCGGTGGCTGTTGTATAGCCTGGTAGGCGTGCAGTCCCCCTCTATAAGGCTTTCCTACCCTTTTGGTGTATATCAGCTTGTGCATATTGAAAGAAATACTAGCTAGAATAGGCCGGCAACCCAGGGTGCCGCAATCCACGCAGGCAAGGCTCCTCGCAAGTGTGAGACAGCCACTGGAAGTTGAAACTCTCCACTTCATCCCTGTATGGAAGCAGGGCATCATGTTGGTAGAAAAAATCATCCTCCCCATCAAGGGTGAACTCCACGTCACCGATCTGTGAAAGTGCTTTGCTGATGCTGGTCGTGCCACAACTGCTCAATCCGGCAACGACAAAGTCCAACTGCAGTTGCGACCAGTGAGACAGTTCTCGTGCCTGCAAATGTTCTGCGGCAGACGGCAGATTGAACTGCAAACGAAGAGCACGAGAAAGATACGTGGGATAAATGCGGGTTAAAATGTGCTCTCGATCGCACGCTGCATGAGCACATACACCGCCCAAAAGACGCTCCGGCAAACCGTTCCACAGGTCAAGAAATTGCTCTAAGCATCCCAGACAGTCTGGGGTATCCCAGGAGGAACCGGAGACATGCAGGGATGCCACGTACGACGACGTATGCAGCTCGGTTTCCCAGTAACGTCCCCCTAGCGCCCAACAACCTCTTGCTTGTCGTTCCACTGCCTGAAAGCGATCCTTGGTTCCTGATTATAGACCCCCTTGGGTAGATAGAATATGGCTTTGGGTATATTATAACAAGATCCTCATATATATATCATAGTCTATCTACTTAAGGGGGAAGAAATTAAGAACCCTTGTGTCGCCATACCCAGAATCCAAATTTCTATTTAGAATCCCCAAAGCCCACCAGACACTACCTATCCTTGCACACCTATAGTCCCCCTTAAGTAGATACAATATGGGGTATATGGGGATCCCTAAACACTAAACCCTAGATAGTAGTTTCCATTTTCTTTTCCATTATCCCAATATAACCCCTATATAACCCCTATATTCTATCTACTTCAGGAGGACTCTATGTATAGTCCCACTTCCCAGGTTGCTTTTCAAGTTTCATTCTCCATACCCCTCAGCTACAAGTACCGAGATGCTGAGTTCAACCCTGGCCCACAAAAGGTTCACCTACGGTTTAGGGTTTAGGATTTAACTGCAATATCTTCTACGCCCCCCAAGGATGACACGATACTCTACTCAGCTACTACACGAACCATCCACCAATGTTTCATTCTCCTCAACCCTAAACTCAAGAACCCAACGCAAACCCCAAAAGCCCAACCTTCGAAACCCCCGCCCCTATACTGATACCCCAAACCCCCAAACCTTAGGAGGACCCAGAATCTTCCACCCAACTCTGGGATGCACCGTCGCCAGCCTCCGCACGTTGCCATGATGAGGTCGAAGCACCGGAATGATGGAAGAAGGGTTCCGGATCGTGTTCTGCGCAGCTCCACGTAGGAACCAACAGCAAGCCTATCTGCGCCTTAGACCCCATTGAAGCCATCAAATTCTAGAAGCCTAGTATAATCTCTAAGCCCCCTGTGAAATCACCAAACAGAGGGTCATTTGGCTACTGATCAAAACCACGTGCCCTGA